AGAGCTGATTATTCTAATTCACTATTTTAATGTTTATTTTTTACCTTGGTGTATAAATATTTTTAACTATAAAGCAAGTGCTAACAATATTTTTCATGTATTTATAAGTGGCTGCCTACATATTGTTTTATTTTAACATGCTTACAAATGAAGAGGTAAAATTTCAAAATGAGAAAAAAACAACTTTCAGGTAATACTCATTGTTTTGTATCTGTAATATCAGATCAAAAGAAGAAACCTAAAATATAACATATAGGTAGTGTTACGCTCATAATACTTTAAATAAAAATATTAACACTGTAAATTACAGAAGAAGAACAATGACAGCAAAATGTATTATTGATATTTTCTATAAAAATAAAACTATATTCAAAACCACTATACTATATTTAAATCTAGTCCATCAAAATATAACGATCACATGGGTTAACATATGGTTACAATGAATTGTATGAGAGATAGCAATAGCACTTAGGCTTATATATCACTCCATAGTGTTTTACAGGATTCTCTGAGTGGTTTACAAATATCAGCATATTGCCCTCAACAATTGGGATACTCATTTTACTGACCTCAGAAGGATAGAAGGCCAAGTCAACCTTGAGCTGGTCAGAATCGAGCAATGAGTTAGCCTGCAATACTGCATTCTAACCACTGAACAACCACAGCTCCTCTCTAATGGTAGTGGTAGTGATGCTTGTGAAAAGTTCTTGAAACAGTAATTCACTGCAAGCTATAAGCTAGTCAGCAGTGTGATATAGCTGCAAAAAAAGAGAAATGCAGTTTTAAGTTGTACTGCCCAAACATATAATTTCTAAAATACAAGGAGTAAATGTTTTACTTTATTCAGTATTGGTCTGAATCTCCCTTAAGTACCAGGTTGGGGATACCACACTTTGAAGAGAACTCAGAGAAATAGCAAAAAGTAATAGGGGTGATCAAGGGATTGAAAATAAACTCCTTTGGGGGGGGATAAACTGAAGAACTTCAGTATGTTTGACCTTGAGAAAAGATGATAGAGAAGAAATATGAGATCACTCTTCAAATACTTTCAGGGATGTCACCTACTCTTTCTTGTTCCAGACTTTTGACATTGGAATAGTAATTTCAGTGACAGGAAGACAATTTCTGATTGAATGTATGGAGAAACGAAAACCCTTCCTAACTGTAAGGATAGTTTAACAGTGCAACCAATTACCCAGAGAGATGGTGGGCTCTCTTCCATTGTATATAGTCAAGTGGAAGATTGGCAAGCACATATGTGTAATTCTTTAATTTGGTTCCCACAGTTGTTGAATTTGATGTCTTAAATGGCATTTTCCATCTATAGGATTCAGCTTAGCTCTTTCAGCCAGATGCCAGTAGTCTGTTCGTTTTAGACATGGTAACTCTCTGGTTAGTTGTTTTATCTCAATATGAGATAAAAGTATTGCTCCTAGACTCTTTACAAAGTTGTACTTTATCTACTGTAAACCCTTTTCGCTCTGCAAATCACAAAATCTGGGTAATCTAGTTTAATAAAGGATTAAATTACATTGAATGGATCAACATTCATAGAGATGGTGAAGATAACTGGGAAATTACAGATCAGGTCTTTTACAACAGGCAAAACATTGTAAATATCCCTGGAAAAGCCAATATCAATGCATCTTATAGAATTTAGGGCATAAAAGATAATATGCTCTTTCTTCTGGTATTTCACATCTGTAGCTGAAAGAAATGGTTCCTTAAACAGACAATTGTTTCTATGCTAACTTGAATATTTTAAAATGTGTCTGATTGTTTTTAATGTGCAGTTCACGTTTACAGCAGAAACAGATTATACCAAAGTTACTTAATCTGGCTTCCATGGAAGAATTACTTTTTTATTGCCTGGTAGTGACTAATGTATATTTTGATATGCTTAAAACTTAGCATTTTGTTGGTGTTAAGGGCTAGAGTTCCTTTTATCTTCTGTGTTGCATTAGAACATGTGCATTTTGTGAATAAATGTGCAAATACTGTCTATCTAACAGCTTTTTCAGCATTCCTCCTTAAAAATTGTGATCAGTTACAGAAAGATTATTTTATCCTGAATCAGCCTTAGTTATTTCCAAGCATGATAGAAAGGCAGTGATTGTGTTAAAAGTGTTTGAATAAATGCAGGCTGGGCTCAGTCATTTTTCTCCTCTGAAGGGCATATCGGCCACCAAGGGGTTGGGGGGTGGGTGGGGAATCCTCAACCTTTGTTGAATTGCAGAGATCACCTTCTAGTAAATTTCACCTGGCTTCCAATTCATTTAATGCACTGAACCCAAATATTCTTGAAGTCAGACATTTATTTCCTGGGAAGCAAATATCTCAACAGTAAATAAATCATGTGTGGCATTTATAGCAAAAAAGCAAAAAAAACCTTCAAGCCGGAGATGCTTTAAAGCACAAAACTTATTGCATTGGCATTTGATATGGCAGTGATAAAAATAAGCTGGTGATTTTGGAGGGGAGATTACCAAGCAGATTAAACCTTGGTATTTATTAGACCATTGTTCTGCAACCTGTGCATTTTCCAAATATATGGGATTCAGGCTGTAAAATTCCCAACCCATCAAGGCCATTTCCAGGAATTATAGAAATCCAGTCTTCCCTCTCAGGGCATCTGTCTTTTGGAACACCATCCCTGAGACCCAGATGGCCCCAACTCTAATAGCTTTCAGAAAGCTTTGAAGAGCTGACTTTTCCCCCAGGCAGTGGCCAGGATTTAAGGCTCTGGATATCTAAACAGAATGTGAGATCTGTTTCCCATTCTTGTCCTGTCAATATATTGTTTTACTGCTTTGTTTTTTGTCCATGGAAATGAATGATCTAGTAAATGGGAAGTATATGGGGAAAATCCAAATACCAAAATAAATGTGAATGTTAATGATTAGTTTTACTACTTTGAACAAAAAGTATTGCAGTAGTTAAACACTTGAAATACCAAAGGATAGTTTGAATAGATCTTCGTATATGACATCTGGGCAATATTCCCCAATAATCTCTTCTGAAAATACAGGCAAGAGATAATCTGTAGAACTGAAAAGAGAACTCATGCAATAGTGCAGATCAGCTATTATTATTTTTATTTTTTTAATCAAAATGTCAACAATGAACTATGTGTAAATATACTTTATCATCGTCAGTTTGTTTGACTGATAAGGATGCCCAAACTCAGATGAAGTACAAAAATTGCTAGCACAATGTCCAAGTAAATTAAATTGGTTTTTATTTATCCTATGAGGAAAAAAACCCTCTGTTTGAAATATCAATATTTGAAATATTAACTTCAGTCAGTCTTGACTCCTAGCAACTGCCTGGATAATGTCCCTGTAGTTTCTTTAGCAAGAGTTTTGGAAATGGTTTGCCATTGCCTTCTTCCTACAACTGAAAGAGATTATATAGCCAAAGTCAGCCAGCTGGCTTTATCTCTAAAGTAAGACTAGAATTCATAGTCTGCTTTTTATTTTGGTTTGGTGCCTTTAACCACTATACCACTATATCAGTCTGGCTGTCTTATATAGTGTTGAGAATAGGCTTAGTGGCGATACTGTCTATTTTTGTCATATTATGATAAAAAATATCTGAATTACTAGATTATGATATCTTCTGGAAAGCTTAATCATATAAAGCTCTAATAGAAATCAGCATAAAGTGTATTAAAATCAACTTTCTTGAAACAAGTTGTTGTGAATATGCAAACATCTCCTTAGAGAAAGTAGAACTGGCAATAACAATTGTGCACAATTATTCAGATTTTTGACAGCTTTGTTTATATATTGTTTTGAATGTTAAACCTATCCAGTGGAAAGATGGGATTCTGTTCCATTTCTGGAATTCTGGAATCCACATTGGAACTACCTAGCACTAGAGTCTCCTTGGCCAATGCTATAGAAGAAGATTCAGTTTTCTCCCATGATGTTTTTACCAAAGAAGGGTCTTTTCAGCCTTCTTGCATCTTAAAAGAATCCAAGAATTTCCAATTGTTGTTAATTTGAGAAAACTAGGAAACTATAATGAAAAGTCTACCAACTGCTGTGTTACAAGAGCAAATCCTATTTGTAGAATAAATATTCAACCATTTTGTGTCTCTTTGCCTACCCTATGAAATAAACTGCCCAATCTCTTTTTGGTCAGGAGGGTTGGTTTCCCTCTGTCCCTTATTTGGCAATGATCAAGTCTGCTATCCTGTTGCTTTTCTCTGGTTGAATGAAAACTAACACTTATCTGGCATGGACACTAATGAAAATGGATTATTTTTGCCTGGAAAGGTCTAGGAAGCTTGGAATTATTCAGCAGAAATACTATGCTTGAGATCAAGGGTTCCAATATTTCTAAATCTGCAATAGAAATAAGAACTGCATAAATGTAGATCAAAGGAACATATGAAGTAGTAGCGAAATATATAACAATTTACTATTCAAAATATTATGGGTATACATATTGGCCTAGTAAATTTTAATTTTTTATATATTAAATTGATATTTATAGAACTATCAGTGCTTGAACAAGAGCATGAGGTCAGTTGAGGTTCATTATGCCTGTTCTCTGTTTACTTTTCTGCTTTATAAATACATTTATATTTCTATTCCATATTTACAGTAATTGATTTGTTGCAAAGTAGGAAAAAAAATCTCACCAAATCTTTGAAAAATTCTGAATAGCTGTGTAGAAATCACATTTTTGGAATCAGCGTTATTTGAATTTTTTAATACCTGAGCTCCAGTGGTTTTCTTTTTCTTTCTTTTTTTTCACAGCCATAAAATGTTAAAAAGGACACATTTAGAGTTCTCTTTTGTTTAGGAATCTTCAACACATGCTGGAGCGTCACAGAGTAGGATATATAGAGAGAAGCCAGTCCTGAAATTTTGGAAAACCCAGATTGAAATTTACTTAAATTATGCGTTTATGTAAATTGCTTAAATAAGTGGAGATATAAATATTATATACAATATATGTATATATATATATATTTTCTTTTCCTCCAGGAAATGATTTGTTCCTAGTGGCAGTTCATGAACTGGGACATGCCCTTGGATTGGAGCATTCAAACGATCCGACTGCCATTATGGCTCCATTTTACCAGTATATGGAAACTGACAATTTCAAACTACCTAATGATGATTTGCAGGGAATCCAAAAGATATACGGTATGCTCTTTAAAAAATATGCATAATATGAGAAAGGATTATTTCTGCTGTATACAGATATATCTTTGCATACATGGTCAGTGTCATGGAAAGCTGTCAATCAGTCCGTCGACTGACATGCTTATAGCTCCTTGTGTTCTATCTATTCCTGCAGTTTTCATGCCAATTGTTCAGAAACTAGTTGCCATTACTTTAAGACTAGTCTGTTTAGTTCAATCTCACTAGGATTTTTATGATACTTTCTCATTCAAGTAATTAACTAGGTCAAATCCTGTGTCACTTTCTTGGGGGCCAGTCAAGATCAGCTAAGTGCTGCCACCTACTGTGGCTTAATGTTATAGTAGAAGATAAAGTGAATATGCAAAAAAAAAGTTTGTTTATTAAGCTTCAGTGAGTTCTTCATTTCAATAAAACTGATACCGTCTAATTCAAATGATATGGCCTCACTCCTGTGCCTCAGATTGATTGACTTTTGGTCTGTTACTGCAGATCTAATCCTATAAAAGAAGGCTGTGGGAATCCTTTTCCTGCAGCACTGGCCAGAGGGTTTTCAAATTGGGCAGCTTTGGCAAATGCTGTGGAACTGCCCACAGTGACTACTGAAGATGGCCCACTTGCAGGCCCCTTAGCATTATGCCTTAGGTCTTCTAAACCTGATATTTTCAGCAAGTGCTAGAGACAACTCTATAGCATGTGCCAAACTTACAAATCCTGAAAACTTCTCCAAACTGGTCACTGGTGATGTTCCCAGCAAGGCAGTTTTAATATGCACAGCAAACTGCCCAGCTTTGAGGCACTTCAGCCAGCATTGGAGAAGGTTGTGATAAAAACCTTTTCCCACAACTCTGTCCTCAGATGGGCTAAGGCCACTCCATTGCTTTGTTGAAGAATTATACTGAATCATCTCTTCACTTCTGCTAAGTACTGTACATCACAAGGCTTCCACAGAATAGATTACTTTGTTGAAGAGAATGTCAATTGCTTTATACAATCCAAACTTGAAATAAGGAAGAATTTCATTACCGTGGAGCTATTAAAGAGTGGAACAACTTGCCTCTTTTGAGTTGTGGGTGCTCCATTCTAAGAGGCTTTTAAGTTGGATAGCCTTCTATTTGGAATGGCGTGAGAATTTGTGCTTAGAATATTTCTCATTCATTGCTGGCTGAGGAACTCTGGGAATTGAAATCCACACAGCTTAAAGTTGCCAAGGTTGAGAAACACTAGCCTAGATGTTCAATATCCCTTCCAACCTATTATTCTGTGTTTCTCATGGGCTTATTGATTATGTCTATTTCTCCAAAAATCTTCTCATTTTGTGTTGTGCAAATTAAATAGTTTTGCTGTTGTTACTGCTTTCTCTGGCATTATCCTCCCATTCTTTTTGTATTTCTTTAGTCCATTCATTTTGGGAATACAGGAGACAGAATCCCCTCCCTTTATTGGTTCAATATCTATTAATTTGCTACTGAACTTTCTTCATTCCCTCCAGTATTTCCATTTCAACGTTTCTTGTCATCTTGTATCTCATTCTAAACATTGATTTACTAAAATATGTTTGAATTGTTTCTATTCCTTCACTAGATAAACTGATCCCACCTTGTTTAATGGTGGAAATGCCAGATCAGCATTTTTATTGAAAAGCAGTATTTTGTTCTAAGCAATTGCCATTGAACAAGAGCATAAGGACAATTGATGATTCTATTTATCCCATGTAGGGTTTGTGGAGTGTTTCCCATGAACTCATTAGTTGGTTTTCTGGACAGAAAAGTCTAGACAAGCATTTTTCCTTGATACTAAATACCAATTTCTAGCAACTGTAAGCTAAATTTTGAAGATTCTGTGGATCTTGGGAGTTGGACATGACTTTGCTAAACAAATTTTACGTGTGCATATTTTCATTTGAATTCCAAATTTTTAAATTGAATGTTGCTTGCCACAAGATAATTCCTCTAATGTCATAACAATGATAAAATCCAAAGTTGGCTGTCACTTTCTATTTAGATTAGATATTGCTCAAATGAACAAATGTTGCATTTCTCAATAACTATAATTTTATCATGCAAAACTGAAATAACAACAACAACAACAACAACAACAATAACAATAACAACAACAACAACAACAACAACAACAACAACAATAATAATAATAATAATAATAATAATAATAATAATAATAATAATAATAATAATAATAATAATAATAATTGGAAGGAACCTTGGAGGTCTTAGTCCAACCCCCTGCTCAGGCAGGAAACCCTATACTATTTCAGACAAATGATTGTCCAATCCCTTCTTAAAAACTTCCAGTATTGGAGCATTCACAACTTCTGGAGGCAAGTTGTTCCACTGAATAATTGTTCTAACTGCCAGAAAGTTTCTCCTTAGTTCTAGGTTGCTTCTCTCCTTGATTAATTTCCATCCATTGCTTCTTGTCCTGCCTTCAGGTGCTTTGAAGAATAGCTTGACTCCCTCTTCTTTGTGGCAACCCCACAAAGAATGTCTTTAAAAGACATATACATATATCTTGTACACAAGCAGTGAATCTCACAGATGCCATCAAATATTATTGGCTATTCTCTACATCTAGAATATCAGATATTAAGGAAACACAGCCTTTATTTGACATCATGCTATTTTTTTCTGATTTGCATGTGATACGAAGAGAGAGAGGAAAAGGAGCTTTGTTAGATCTGTCAAAGAAACTATTCATCTACCTTTCTGTTTTTATATGGATAGTCAAATGTCACTAAGAAGGCCACATAAGAAGCAAGGAAAAGAATAAAGTTTGACCCTATGAAACTATCTTGTTATTTTCAGATAATCTACCTCTAGCGTATCTTATAAGGAAGCATATTTTTAGCAATTATTCTGACAAAGAGCACCCTAAATCATTTAAACTATTGATAATTATAATCTTAAGATAATATGACAGCAACATTCATGTTTAATTCATTGACTAAAGAATAGAGATGTGCAGCTATTTGAATATGAATCACCTTTTCTAATTTGGATCTGAACAGCTGCATTTTCCTATTAAAGAGAAAATGTTTTATTTATTTTGAATATAACAAAATTGTTGCAAGATACTGCTTGTTTATATGTACATCTTCTGTTCTTACTAGCTCTTCTATTTGATATTTTAATTTGTAGGCCAACCTGAAATCCATTCTAATAAACTAATGCACTTTTAAAAACATTTTTAAAAATTAACTTATAGATATGTTACAACAACATAGATTTGTCCATCACTTTCATTTTTTGTATGGTTTTTTAAAATTCTACTCTAGTACTATTTTTTTAAATTTTTCTGCCCCAGATATATCTTTCTTCACTGAATACAGTAGAGGTCATAAGGATAATTTAGTTTCTCTTAATAGAGTAATATAAAATAGCCATAACTCAGCAATTTATAATCAATCAAAAAAAGTAGAAGACCCAGTTTGTTGTAGTGGTTAAAGCATTAGGCTAGAAATTAGAAACCTGTGAGTTCTGGCTCCACCTTTTGCACAAATCCAACTGGATGGCTTTGGGCCAGTCACTTTCTCTCAGCCCCAGAAGGAGGGAATGGCAAACCATTTCTGAAAACCCTTTCCAAGAAAACTTCAGGGACTTGTCCAGGCAGTCTCTAAAATTTTGACATGATTGAATGGGGGGGGGGGAGTAGAATAAATTTTAACAGGCATAGAGTAACCTGAGAAGAATTATGCAAACTTTATTAGTACTAATTAGTTAAATTTCCATAATCTAGCCTTAAATATAACAATTCAAATGTGTGCATTTCTGGTCTGGTGCATTTTTTTTAACCATAGTACATTAAAACATCTCTCTGTAACAAAGGAATCTGGACAGTTGGTTTGAAAAAGGAAGAAACCTTGGGAAGGCTACATGGCTCAACCTTAATATTTATTTATTTTATTTATTTTCATAATTTATATGCCGCCCTTCTCCCCACGGGACTCAGGGCGGCTCACAGCATATTAAAATAACACAATACAAACAACACACACAACATTTCCCCTATAAAAGCCAATTAAAACCAAATATTTGTAGCTGTGACATTATTAAAATCATTAAAAATTATCCCTATTTAAAATTCACCCTAGGTCAATATGATTATTTAAATTTTAAGCACAGATTAATGCTTAATATATTTTTTCTTAGTTATTTGGTAATTAGTAAGTAAATACCAAAAAAAGAGAACACAGGTAACCTTCAAAATTGTGAGGATTCAAAATAATTTTTAAAATAATTTTCTAGTATCTTTATTTTTGTAACAAAAATTATCTTAAAAAAAGAAATAAAAAAATACAAAAAGTAGTATACAAACTAAGAAGGAAAAGAAAAGAAAATTCTTATACAGCATTTTATACTTACCAATAGCCACTAGTTTACCAATGAATTCACTACTATAATATGAACAGTACAAGAGATCACAGTACTGCAAGAGATCACTCTGCAATTACCATCTTACTGCTCCCTTGTATTTGTGAGACAATAATATAACTTTTCCATTTCTTAATATAATGCTTTTTGCCATCCTCCAAAATAACTGAGTGTTGAGTTCTCTGACCATTTAGCTTGCTAATAAAACATTATGTCATCATGTTCTTATGGTATTTTATAAAATCAGTATTATCTTGGTTCATAAAATCCAATATTATGCAGCTTCTGTATATTAATCTTATGAGAGTTTTCTTTCTCATTTAAAGGTCCACCTGACAGAATCCCACCACCCACAAGACCCTTGCCGACAGTACCTCCTCATCGTTCTGTCCCTCCAGCTGATCCTAGGAAGAATGACAGGGCTAAAGCTCCCCGGCCACCCACAGGGGATAAGCCCTCCTACCCTGGGGTCAAACCCAATATTTGTGATGGAAATTTCAATACTCTAGCCATCCTCCGCCACGAAATGTTTGTTTTCAAGGTAGGTGGTCCTTCTTCTTCTTCTTTTAATTACTAGACCAAGAGAATGCATCTTTGCTTTTTCAAAAACCAGCTCTCATTCAGCCTGATTGTGCTTCTTAGCTTTCTTGCTCTTTTCAAGTTCAAGAAAGACATCTGAATGGCTTACATGTTCAACAGAGAAAAGGCCGGAATGTTCTATTTTGGGGAATGAATTAATGTCAGCAGAAAGTTGCAATGGTTCAAAAATGTAATGGTAAGTAAATACTGAATGTTATGGAGAGATAAAAAAAGGCATAATTCAAGTCATGAATAGAAGCTAATAGGGATGATTTGGTTGGGAATTTAGCCATTTCCACTCTCATTGCTATTATTGTGTTTTCTGTATAAGGACCCTGTAATTTAACTTTATAATTAGATCAGACACTTTATAAAAGATACTTGTCACTGTGTTATGGTTGCCTTGATACATTCTGAGTAAAACCAGTGTTAAAAGAAACGTTTTGCAGGTGTTTGAAAGCTTTTTGTTATTGATATTTTTGGGTTGGTTCAATTTTTGTTTGTTTGAACATGTGTCCATATGGCACTTATCCTGATAACGAGAAAGCCTTTTTATTTTGATTTTAAATAGACTTTAATGTTCAAAGACAACAAATCAAAGCAAATCCATTGACTGGACCACAATAATGATCTGGCACATTTTCTTGAATGGTTTCCAAAATGCAACATGGCCTTAATTTTAAATGAATTTTACGAGATATTTTGGTACAAGTTTTCAAAATTAAATAGAGGATATTAAGTGACATTATATTAACTTCCAAACACATATTCTTATTTCGTATTTTCTTAAACTAGCTGTGATTTTTTTTTAAAAAAATGTGAATATTTAAATAAATGTGCTTCTAGGGTACACATAATCTTTTAACATTGCTTAGAAAATATATTTATAGAAACAACATTTAAGGATTAATAGGATAAGTGTTCTATTGGTTGTCTAGTTTGCTACATAATTTATTTGTATGCTATCCTTACACCTACTTTGGACTAAGCTCTGATGCATAGAATGTAATTGATTCAATATGAGGTGTTCCTGTGACTTCATAATTAAATTACATTTCCTATAGAAAGACAATGTATACAAGGGACTTGCACGTAAATTACATCTAAAATACAGTGAACAGATTGATAAATGGCAGAATTTTATTGACATTCATTGGGACTCTCAGCATGCAAACAAATGATAAGTTGGATCAACTTGTAAGCAACAAATTATACTGACATTTCTTCAATGTAATATATTTCTGTTGGGCTTTGTGATCCTTCCCCATGCCAATACAATCTCAAAAAAAGCCCTCATTCCCCAGAGGCCCTACAAAGGGCCCCAGGGAAGGCATGTCAAACTGCCGGCTCGCGGGCCGGATGGGTCACGCCGAAACCGCACCCACCCCATTGCCGGCAATGGGAAAAAGTCACGATACATCATGCGATGTCATGTGACATCACGAGTTTGACATACCTTCCCTGGGGCAACTACCCACAGTAGCAGGAAGATCTGCCTGAAGATAGAGGGTGCTAAGAATCACCAGGTTAAATCAGGTTGTCTTTGGATTTTGGACATAGGAATAGTCAATATTCAAACAATTTAAAGAATGCTTGACTAGAAGAACTATTGATTGAACTCAACAGTGTGCATTAGGATATCATTGGATTATATGAAACTCGATGAAAAGGTGAAAAATTAGTTGAACTTGAAAGGACTGGGCATTTATTCTAAACTAACGGTGTTAAAGATGGACAATGTGATGGAGTTGGCTTTCTCATCAACCAAAGACTCCGTAGTAAAATTTGAAAGTATATCAGACATAGTAGCCCAATGCATCATTCAACTGAACAAACAATACAAACTTCAAATCATCCAAGCTTACGCACGAACAATAAGCTATAGTGATCATGAGCTCGAAGAGTTTTACCATGATGTGGCCTACCTTCAATACAAAGAAAAATGCTGATATAACATACTAATGGGTGACTTTAATGCCAGAATAGGAAGAACAATACCTGGAGAAAAGGCTACTGGCCCATAAGGAAGTGGTGAACGAGATAGAATCAAGATCATGTGAAGTGTTAATACCACTTTCCAATGCCTTGGTAAGGCCACACTTGGAATACTGCATCCAGTTTTGGTCACCGCGATGTAAAAAAGATGTTGAGACTCTAGAAAGAGTACAGAGAAGAGCAACAAAGATGATTAGGGGACTGGAGGCTAAAGCATATAAGGAACGGNCCTGAAGGCAGGACAAGAAGCAACGGGTGGAAACTAAGCAAGGAGAGAAGCAACCTAGAACTAAGGAGAAACTTCCTGACAAGTTAGAACAATTAACCAGTGGAACAACCTGCCTCCAGAAGCGGTGAATGCTCCAACACTGGAGGTTTTTAAGAAGAGACTGGACAGCCATTTGTCCGAAATGGTATAGGGTTTCCTGAGCAGGGGGTTGGACTAGATGACCTCCAAGGTCCCTTCCAACTTTACTATTATTATTATAATAGAGGTGACCGACTAGATTTTGCTGATCTTCCACCTTTAAGCTTTGTGTGTGTTGTCTTATCAGATAACTCAGTCTAAACTACCATTTTAAGTTTGGTGATGCCAGGAAATAAATTAATACAGGGAATTGTGGGAAATTAGAACTGATCAATAGAGGAGTGGACTCATGAGCACCAATAAAATTGCCCAGTTGATTCTGCCAATGTAGAACTTCAGACTTTTCAGATAAGAAATATAAATTGGTCATGAGAGACTTGCAACTTTAACACAGAAATACCTGAATCTGGTCCAATAAAAATTGTCCAGGAGACCAAGCAACTTGGCATTTAATAAATTGAAATAACTGAACATTGTTTAACAATATTACTTAGTAGAATGTATAACTTTCCCTAGTAACAACACAAGCAGCTTCTAGGTAATTGATTCATGGTTACTTTATTTCATTTCATAGAAGAGTGTCTTTTATGTATTTTTCTTCAGATAGAATTACCAGCTTTTGAATAAAGCCTTTGTAATATTATGATTTTATTTTTAATACCCTATGGCCATCCATCTTTGTGAATGAAATGAAAGGTTAAGAATATCATTTTCTAACTTGACATTAAGTAGGATATTAAAATTCTCAGCCATTTGTTATGCATTGATCTCATAAACAATAGAATATGCTCTAATTTGTTTTACACTGTAAAATTATTTACTACATCACTAAAATAAATCTTATTTCCAACCTAAAATTGTGGTTTTAGTTGGAGAGATCAACCATAATTTTTCAGTTGATACAGACAGTAATCGTTCATCTAATCTTAGAAAAACTCTATGCATATCTACTTAAAAGTAAACCACACTGAATTTTGGTGGAAATTATTTCTAGGGAACTGAGACAAAAATGACAGATTGCATTGCGTGTAGTGAAATATAGGCTTGTTTTCTGATGCTTTATTTATAATGCTATCCCTCTTCAGAAACAAAAGCATTCAAAAATAATATGCAGTAAATAAAATAATATGCAGTAAATAAAATTATTTTTACAACTTTTTCAGATAGTTTTTCAGATAGTTTAAAATGGTATGTACAGCATTTTGGACTCAGAAGCAAAAAGAGATTTCAGAGCATGCAAAGATGTGAACATACCACTTTCCTATAACTCCTTAAAACAGTCATGTCTTTCACTGCTATCATATGATCTCAGCAGTAAACGTGTTTGATTTTAGGTAGTATTTTTCAAACTTGGTAACTTTAAGATGTGTGGACTTTAACTCCCAGATTTTACCAGCCAGCATGTTAGAGATTGAATTCTGGGATGAAGAGGTAAAGAAAGTATTGCTGCAAACAGATGAACTAATTTGATGTTAATTAATATAGATGATTTTTACCAGCTCTTTAGTAACTTCACTGAAATGGAATGTGATATCAAATCTCTGTTGAAAAATGGAAAGTGCTTGACATTGGAGAAGTAGGAGTGTCAACAGCATTTTATTGTAACATCTAACATACATTTTAAAAACTTTTTCTCATAATTTCTGGAAGATTGTTAATATATTAATCCAGTAGGATAGGATTCTGTTGATCAAAGTTGGCCAGGTCAGGAAACAGACAACACAGGGGTTATAGGACTATTGGCTTTTGAAAGAATTTTGTAAGCTGAAGGAGTGTCCTGTTCTCACCTGTTATATCAAACAGAATCAAAACAGGTTCATTTTGGTTTTTCATCCTTTCTGCTTTCATTAGATTAAGTTGTTATTTATTTTAGCTTACCTGCTCTTTTATTCCTTTATCAGTTATCTCCTTGCTCCAGATTAGTGTTTCTTTGAAAGATCATATGTACAACAGTGTTCTGGCTGGACTATTTTAGGTGTGAAAGTCCACATCTCTTAAAGTTGTTAAGGTTGGGATAGACTGTAGGTGACTTCTGTTATATGATCTTTCAGTAGTACCCTGAAACATATCTGCAAGTACAAGGAGGATTCTAATAGTGAAGGTTAGAAAGTAGAAAAGGAGATCAAAGCTATACTAGAAAGCACATATTTCATGTAAAACAAGAAGTAAACAATGCAGGAATATGCATTAGTATAGCACAATAATTGAAATATGATAGCTTGTATGTAGAATAGTATTTGTACAAATTTCTTAGCCCAAAATGTAGGAGATACGGTGGAGGCTATATTTATTGTATATGAAATGAAGAACTGTTTTTTTTATTTATTTCCTCAGTTTGGGACACTCTCCAGTTTTTATGTTATTTAGGAGAATCTGTTTTCCTTGTATTGCTAGTAGGAAACCAGGAAAATCCATGCTTGATCTTGTCCCTTCCTCCACGTATTGGAGTCTGGTTTATATAGGCTCCTTATGCAGTTTAGAGCATAAAGCATAAAGGGTAGTGTCAAAGAGTAGAAAACAAACAAACCAAATTTGTGTGTGTGTGTGTTTGAACAGTTAGTTTTGATCCACCTGGGGTGGTGGTGGAGGGGAGTGAACCT